GAAAGGGACATTTTTTTACCGTGGACAGCAGAAAGTCGAGTCGAGCTGTAGCGAGGCCCCCTGCGGCTGGTTACAGAAGGATCCGAACACTCGGAGACACTTCTCCGCCCTCTGCATAAGTGGCAGATATGTAATTGGTGTTTACTGCCATATTCTCATGCGATTAGATTAAACATCCCGGAATACTTATTCGGGACCCTCATCATTGCATACACCTTTCCATGATGCAGGTATAGGTTAGATGTATGTGTTATTACCAATTTCTCATACATTAAGGGTTCGAACAAGGTCAGGACACATTTTTCGGACTCTATTTGCATGATTGCACATATGTAATGTGGATGGTATTTATGGCCATTTCCCTCATGCCAAATTAGGGTTAAAAGCACTTGAACGCCTATTCGAGGTGACACTCTGCATGTTGGCAATATGTAATTATGGTGGTTACTAGCATTTCAAATGCATTAAGGATCGATACATACGGAAACTTATTCGTGACCCTCTGCATGATGGCAGATAGGAATAGGTTTTGTTACTACAATTGTCAACCTGCATAAGATGTCAACGACGCAGACACGTATTCAGGACCCTCGATGCATGATGCAAATAATATAATTCTGGTGTTGACATGCCATTGTTCTCGTGCAATAGGTTCAACACGTCAGACACTTAGTTGGACCAGTCTTGCATGAATGGCAATATATGTAAGTCAGGAGGTTTAACTGCCGATTGCTCGGTGCATTACCGGATTCAAGACACTCACGAAACACTGATTCGTACCCTACATGATGCAAATATGTAATTATGGTGTTTAACTGCCATTTCTCGTGCATAGGAATTCGAACACTAGGGACACGTATAGCGACCCCTGTTGCATAATGGCCGATGTAATTCTGGTGTGTACTTGCCATGTGTTCCCATCATAAGGGTTTTATACCCTGGGGGAACTTATCGGAAGCGTGTTGCGATGATGGCAGATACCCTTTGCATAGGGCGAAGTAATGTAATTTATAGGTGTTTTTTAGGATTTCTCAATACAGTAGGTTCGGAACAAATCAACGACTTGATCGGACCTCCTCAAGAATGTGCGGCATCAGTGAATTAATGGTGGAACGTGACATTTCTATGCATGTACGATTAAACACACGCACAATTTGTTCAAAAGCCCCTTACACGATGGCCAGATATGGTATGAGGTATTTACTGCCATTCTCATTGCATTAGCGTTAAACAACTAAGAACATGCGATTATTTCGGATCGCGCTTGCATAATGACAAGGTATGTAGATGATGGGTGTAAGCGCTGCGCATTTACTCAGGCATTGAGGTTTAAAACACGTCGGACACTTATCGGACGCCGCTGCATATGGGAGATACTGTAGATATGGTGTTCTGGATTTGCCAAATTCTCAGTGCATGTAGGGTTAAACAGCTGCGGAGATCAACTTACGGTGCCCTCTTAGAATATGCAGATATGGTAGAGTATGGGTGTATGAGCTTTCCATTGTCCGGCATAAGATCGGAACGCTCGGGACCACTTATTATCGTACTATCTGCATGATGGCAAGATATGTAATTATGAGTGTTCCTGGCCATTTCTCATGCATTATGGTTTAAACACTCGAACTATCGGAACCCTCGTGACGTAATGCATCCCTTTTGTATGATGAACGAAGGTATTAATTATGGAGTGTGATACGGTTACCATTTCTCATACATGTTGAAGCGTT